GGTAGGTGCGGTGTTGTTGGTCGTAGTAAGTGGGGGTCTCGATAGCATGGTTTGGATCGCGGGGTGCGTATGCAGCGAAATTCGTGTCTTGTGAGTAGACCGAAGAGGGAGGGTGATGACCAAGAGGGGATAAGGGGCTGTAAATGGTGTTGTTGGGGCCTGGGGTTGGTGGGGTGTACGATGGTGGTGCTATTTCTCATGGGTTAGTGAGATAGCTCATTGAGGTTTGTTGAAGGGATTGATTTGGGTGAACTTACAATCGGTCGACTCTGGCTGCCGATTCTCTGCCATGACGCATATGGGTAGGATATCCAGACTTTGCTCTGCTCCATCCTCTTTCTCACGCGTCTTGGCTTTCCTTTTCCTGGAACATAGGAACCAGATTACGAATCCAGCTATTATCGCGAGTGCGAAGGTACCTCCTGCTGCACCACCTGCTATAGCCGCGACGGGTAGTTTCTCTTCGGTTGCAACGGAGGCAGTGTTCGACGGGGATATCGTGCTCGATGTTGATGTGGCTGACGTCGTGGCTACGTTCGCTAATGTGACTGATGCGTAATTGTTGGAAGCGGATGTTGGTGATGGGCTCGAGTCTGTCTTCAAACCACCAGTCGCATGGTAAGCGCTGAGTAAATCGTCGCGATTAAGTATTGCCGGTTCAAGATCACCATCTGGACAACCGGACTGGGCGCATGCGTTCGTTTTACAACATCCCCAGAATGTTTCTACGCTGTGTTAATATGGCGTTCAAACAATACGATTCATTTGCTCGTTGGCTGGAGGATCTGCGATATATCCAAGGCCTAATGATGCTTTTTGACTTACTGTCAGCGGCGCAAGTGTAGAATTTACTCCCAGTCCCACACGTAGCGTCCGGAAAATCTCCATATGATGTTGGATCAAAGGCACCGGGGTACAAGTTTCCTTGCGCGCAGGTGATCTCGCATGGATCTCTTGCGCAACAGCCAACGAAAAAGCTAAAACGTCGTTAGCTCATGGAAGTATGAGGAAAAAGCATATTTACTTACGTTCCATAGCCACACGACCACCACGTGCCTCCAGCAGGACAAGAAGGTGAGAAGATCTGTCGCTCAGCGAAATTGGGCGACATAGTTCGAAGTAACGAGGCTGGGGTCTGTATAGAAAATCCCAAAAGCAAGTATTACCAGGGAGCAGCAGAATCAATGACCTTCAAACTACGAACCCAACGGGCAGAGAGTAAAGGCCACCAGGAAATTACACTTGGACACTGGAGTCTGATCCGGACCCCAAGAGCACATACATCGACCCAAACGCCGCCTTGCGGCTCAGCCATCATTGTAGTAAGATGCTACTCTTAGCCAAACTGCTCACTCGCTGCATATTTTCCTGCAATATTTCAGGGCGAAAATGCCGAGAAAAGATGCGCATGCGGTCATTCAATAGGGGCGGTATTACTCGGGTGATGTCATGCGTGTGTTCGCAGCACTGCCGTGCTACATACATGGCCGCCGCAACGGCGCGCAATGCTGACGAATGGTGGTATAGGGGTGGTGCTTGCAGGACTGGAGGTGAGCAGATCTTGGGGCTGATGGTTGTGATGGAGGGGTGATGTGGCGTGAAAGATCGTCGGGCTACCTCAGTCGGTGGCTGCCGCGTGCTTGTGGGCGCGCGATGAGATGCCCCATCGTGGAACAAGTGACATTAGGACCGGGATTGTGGATTGCACACTCCGATAGTACGAACTACCACGTTGCGTGCCGCGGGGAAGCAAGATGAGTACACATATTGGAACAGTTGCGAAAAGGCTGCGTAGACGATGCGAAGTGGAAGGCGGTCTTCGTGTTCTAAATGCGGCTCGTTTTGGCTGCACGTGGGATTAGGTAAGAGTAAGCCCAGGAGCGGCCTTACAATATTGTCTGAAGAAAGGAGATGTGCAATCTCAATATACCTCAAACTCAGTTCTCTACGTTTTCAACATCGTTATTCTTAGATGGTGTATATGCATTTGGTGGGTAAGAATGGGTATGATATGCGAACACAGATTACAATGGAACCCCCCAATTACAACAGCATGGATCGAGTGTAAATTATTTTCAATCATACGGGACTGTCGTTCCCCAACTAGTTCCTTGACAACGATGCTTCCTCGGTCATTACGCCCAACCCTTGAACTCGGCTCGCTCGCTTCGTCTTGTCGTTGGAAAATTCGCCTTGCACCGGCATAGGTGAGGTCTGTGGTGACTCCAGCTCAGAGGGACCAGGCCGTGCCTCAGCAGGAAGCTCAGAAAATCGCCGAGTGTCTACAACACCTGATGCGCCGGCAGGCAGTTCAGAGTATCGGTTGGACGAAGAAACCTCTGCCGGAAGCTCTTGAGGTTCGCTCGCGTGGCTGGCGTATTGGACGTATGATTGATGGCCCTTGGTTGGGTAGTTTTGTTGGTAAGGATCTTGGACGGGAGAGGTATATGTAGGAGGTGCTGTCGGGGATGTTAGCATACTATAAGATGGATCATCGAGAAGAACGTACGTGATTGGCCGTTGAAATGTGATGAGTGCCTGTTGTGGTCATGCTTCTCGTTGTTCATCATTGGGACCATGGCTGCTGCGCCCATTTCGCCTTCGGTAGACTTCTTGTTGCGTCTTTTACGGAGGACGAAGAAGGCGATCAACCCAATGATGGCAAGAGCGGCGACGCCTCCGACAACTCCACCAGCAATGGCGCCAGTGTTACTCTTCGAGGGGCTTCCAGTTGAGGTTTCGCTTGGAGTTGGACTCGGGACATCTGAAGCATAGAAGCTGAATTCACCTGGCTGACCCATGAAGGCAGGTGTTAGGTCTCCCGAGGCGCATGTAGCCGGTGGGGTCGCTGCGCATGGATTTGTCTTGCAACATCCCCAGAAAGAGTCTCCTGCGCTGCATGTGTAGAAATCGCTGCCTTGTGAACAAGAAGCGCCTGGCCATTCGCCGTAATGTGAGATGTTGTAGCCACCGGCACGGATGTTTCCTTGCTGGCAGCCGTTGACACAAGGATTAGCTCCGCAGCAACCGACGAATTTGCTTCCAGTAGAGCAAGCGTACCTATAGTCTGTTAGTATCTGCGCCGCTCTGAAGTCTGAGATCCTCCTTACCACTTGCCTCCGGTCGGGCAGTGAAAGTCGTAGAATGATGAGTTAGACATGCTGAGGGTACGTCCTATATTAATAAAGCCTTTGGATATGTCTGTCCAAGGGAAGTGTATTATTGCGAACCCAACGGCGCAAAAGCAAAGATGAGATCAAGCAAGAGTAAACGCAGCCGACACTAGAAAGAAGACAGTGGAGATCGCAAAGAACGGGGCAAAGAGCAGCTACTTCAGCGATGAACAGCACACGGACTCCGACAAACATGTATCTCCATGTCTCCAAGCACGCACAAGGAACGCCTGAACGAGGCGTTACCTGATCGGTGACACCGCAGGAAGACACCGCACACAACACCCACCAATCGAACACGGCGCGTGATCGAATGGGGTATGGTAGACCCTCTGCCCTATGGTGGCTTGCGATATGTGATGTATTTTGGTGGCATGTCAGAAGCTTGTTCATACTTCGCGTTAGCAGCTGAAGGGAAGTAAGCGAAGGATTGACGAGCCTAGAGCCCGACCCGTACCCCGTGGCAGGGATTGATCTGAGCGCCAGAGCCTCAGCACAGCATTTTCCCATCGCGGGAGGAACGGTGTGTATGACGGAAAGTACACGCGATTGTACGATGGCCTTACCACACCTGCTACAAGACATGACGAGATATAAGCTCATTGTCTTCATTCTCTTGAGACACTCGATCAAATGACCAGCGTTAAACCTCAGGCCCACCTAAGGCGGCGGAGCTGAGTTGCAATCGCAAAATCATCCCCTTTTGGTGGCGTCTTTAATCGAAATGACTACCAGGCCGCGCCTAGGGCATGGGGCCGTTTCTCAACAGTAGCCCGCGTCGACCCCACAAGATGTCAGCAGGAGCCAACGTTGCCCCGAGAGGTTTCTGGAGTCTGACCGGGGCCTGAGAAGTCGTTTCCGCAGATACAGACTCGCGACATGATGCGACAAGACCTGTATTCGCCGAGCTGGGGAGACGATGCGGCTGCTCGGGTACCCCAGCCGCAAAGAGTTCGCTTGGCGGGTTAGTTCCGCTCCCGACGGCTGAGGTCACTGAAAGTTTGTGTTGGTACTCCAGATGGCACGGGCATCAGGTAGAGACAATATTACGTAGTTGGAACATCTGAGTCCAGACTGATAGCCATGTGGAACCCTGAGCAGTGAACAGCGCACTGCGCTTGCCGGAATAGGCTAGGAGGCTAAGCGTGGAATCGCGGTCGACACATCAGTCCAGGCGGGCTGTGTTATCGGAGTGTTCAAGAGCAGGCAGCTCCACGGTTTGTAAAATCATTAGAGTCGGCCCCGAGTGAAGCGTTTGTGATGGCTGAAGACTACCTAGGTAAGTTTGATTGACCGGGACGGCAGGTGAAAAGAGTAGGCAGGATCATTACAGAAGAAAGTTGTCGCAAAAAGTTGTTGCAAGATACTTCGTGGTAAAGAATGTAGCTAAGAAGCATTGCTTGATGTGTACCAGGGACCATGATGGAGTTCGCCGTGGGGATGTCGCGTTGAAATGGACGTGTCGTGCGCACGAGCCTCCCGGTCTCGTCTGAGGCTGGCGGCTGGCGCTAGTACATCATCGTCGCGGGGAAGCATGGCAGCTATCTCGAGTGACAACACAGCAAGCATACCGCAACATGATCCGGCGAATGATATGTGGTAGACGCGAGAAACTTGTTCATTCCCGGTTCCAACGAGTACCTGATACATGCGTCGCGCCAGTGTGATCCCAGCCGTGATGAGACCAGCCTCCGCATATTCGGGTGGTTGGTAGAGTTGCACGCACCCGCCATCTCGAGTAGAAAACTTATCCACTCCCACCGCCAAAATATCTTCATAATGCTACATTCCTGAACAGCTCCACTTGACTAGTGTACCGAAGAAGACATGAGTGTGGAGCCTGAATTCCAACTCAAGCAAACCAACGGTAGGTGAGCTGCACCAGCCATCCCAGACACGCATCATGCTGACAGAGGTCTCAGTCTCGCAGCCTCAACTATCCCATCAAACCTCGCAGCAGAGCGTTGCTGCTTCCCTCGCTGCTTCTGAGGGCTACTACAGCGCGTCAGAGCACGCGTCCAGTTCGAGCGACGAGCGCAGGCCTCTCTACCAGACACCGCCTTCCTCCCGCACACCGGCACAGAGTCATGAGCAGTTGGTGCCACACACTGACATCCCGATAACGTCTCTGCGAGGTGTTGGTGTCCCAAGACAGCAGCCTCAGCCTTCCTTCACACACGGACGCCCTCAATCGCCTGCTGTGTCTACCATCGCAGAGGAGTCGAGACCAGACACGCGAGACGCGAGGCGCTCCCAGTCATACAACATGGACGCCGAATCCCAGGTGACCACACCCGGCCAGGATACCACACCCTACATTCGATTCGCCATCGACCAACTCACACGCGACGAAGAGGTCCGAGGATCGAGAATATACCCAGAGGTCCGACCAGAGGACGAAGATGACTACCCCGTCGACAGGATTGTCCACGACAATGGCCTGGGATACATGGCGCAGGAACAGCGGACACAACAAAGGATGTCACAACAAATACCACGGAAGCCCCTGAGGAATTCGTCAACACCGCTTGCGAAAGCCCCAGCACCCATGGCCACTACACAGCCTTACGACCCACATCACCCAACCCAACAGTACAGGCCCCAGCATTCACCATCTCCTTCTCGCACACAGAACGACGTCTTCGTAGCACATACCCAACATGCGCCACTGCACTTCCTCCCGGCTATCCTTCGCCCATTCTGGCTAGGCCTTTACATCTTCTTGTGTCTTCTAATGCTTGCAGCCTTGATCTTTTCTGCCGTCTACTCCAACCGCAACGATGGCAACGGCCTGTGGGACTACAACGCATTTGGCGACAACCGCTACTTTGTCTTCGAATACCTCCCAACCCTCCTAGGAATGCTCCTACTTCTATGGCTCATCCAGATCCAGACCGCTACCCAGCGCCTCATACCTTTCATCTCCATGGCTTCGGACTCTTTCCACATGCGCTCTGAGGCTGTCTTCCTCCGACTGTACCCGATGCAGTTCGTATGGCCTAACTTTGAGCATTTCCGCGCCGGACACCCCGGTGTCGGTGTTTTCTTCTTCGTGTCATGGCTGTTTACTTGGACGATACCCCTTCTTGCTTCCGCCTACAACGTACGATATGACGTGGGCCGCAGTGTCTGGCGATGGGTAGCCGTTCAGGGCGTTGTCTGGACCGTTGTTGTTCTCTACATCCTGCTGATTGCCGTCTTGATCTACATGCTGCTCTTCCTGACCCGCAACCCGACTGGCCTGAAATGGGACCCTCGATCTCTCGCCGATATCATCTCGCTTCTTGAGCGCTCGAACAACCTCACGGATTACAACAACTCTGAGACATTTGAGAAGGGCGACTGGCATCTGGTTAGCAACCGCGCAGACCGCATTGGATATTGGACCACTACAACGAGACCCAGCGACGTCTTCTACGGTATCGGCGAAGAGGGTGCTGGGATTCGGAGGTTCTCAGTTCAAGAGGGACGTATCACTGAGAAGGGAGCTGAGCGCACCAACCTCGACCCGACCCAGGGCAACGACTTCACCATCCGCACCGACATCCGCAATCCCAGCGTGCGGCTACGATTCCTTCCCTGGTACCTGAAGGACACTTCGGTCATTGCGTGGATCGTCATTGCCACTGTATTGCTGGTCGCTTTCTTCGTTGTTAGTTTTGTCAACAGCGCCGTCCGCCTTGGATTCCTGCCCCAGGTCTTCGCTCGCACTGGCGCAGACGGCTTCTCCGCGTCAAACTTCCTCTACTCCTTCATTCCGGCTCTGATCGCCAATTTCCTCTTCTTGGCTCTATTGTCTCTGGACTACTCTCTCCGGGTGCTTCAGCCCTACATGGCGCTCTCCTCCAAAGGCGGAGCTACCGCTGAGGCCTCTCTTCTGGTCGACTATGCTTGCCGCCTACCTTTCTCCGCCACTTTGGCGGCACTCGAGAACAGACACTGGCAAACAGCTGTTCTGTCCTTTGTCTCGTTGACATCCTGCACTCTTCCCATCCTCGCTGGAGGCTGCTTCTGGACGCAATACTACGGCAATGATGACGTCGTCCGTGTCGCAGCCGAGCTCGCAGGATACTACGCCCTCTGCTTCTTCCTCGCCCTCTACGGCGTCAGCCTCCTCGCTCTCATCCCAGGCCGTCGCCGAGCCGCCCTTCCTCACCGCAGCAACACGCTCTCCGAGATAATCAGCTGGGTCTACCAATCCCCCATCCTCGCCGACCGCGCTTTCTCTCGCCCACAGACAAAGCCCGAGCTCGTCGCAAGGCTAATGGGATCCACCTACGCGGAACGCACATGGGCCCGGTCCGCTCTCTCGCTCGTCCGTCCTTCGCGCAACAATCTGCGCAACGAGCCAGCTGCAGAACCCGCCCTAGGCGACAAGAAGACGAGGAAGGAACGCAAGAACGAGAAGCACAACTCCTACACCGACCCACAGAAGATTCGTTACGGCTTCGGTATTCACGTCGGACGCGATGGTCTCGAGCATCTCGGCATCGACCGCGTACATCGTGGTGGAGAGAGGAGTGGCCGCGAACTTGTTATCTGGGAAGAGCAGAACAACAACAAGAGGAAGAGCTGGACGAGTCAAGTCTAAGGCTCTGGCAGCATCGATCGTACACGACGAACGAAACGCATTTCACGATCGCACACATTTATACTCGTATTTCACGAGTTTCACACAACACAATCGAATTTTAGCATCGGCGTTTGGAGGATATTTTGTTTTGCACATTACGGATTCATGGGTATCACGGCATTTGGGCATGACGGCGCAAGGAACTTCATTTGAATAGAACGAAGTTCACGGAATGTATAGTATGGTAATAATGAGAGCGATATAGACGAGGGGTTGTAGGAAGCGGAGTCTTCCTCCTCAGAGGTCAAATGATGTGTATACGGAAAGGGCTAGATATGAGATGAGCCTAGTAATTTACGAGAACGATGAATGCATAGAGATGAAGACAAGAATTGTATACATCAAGAAATTGTTTCAACAAGGTCTTTGTTCTGTGGTATGAAGTTTGAATTTCCTTCATATCTACTACCTACGCAGCAATAGCCGCCTCAGTAAGTCTACTAATCTCCAACTCGCCATCTCCACCCAGATTATCCAAGCCATGGAACCCCTCCTCCACAACCCATTTCTGCTCGTACTTCATAAGCACTTTGCACGCATTACCCACGACCAGGAGACCAGGCGGTCTGCTGCCTTCCTCCTCAACTGCCGCACACACATGTTCCAGCGTCGTTCTAATGACTCTCTGATCAGGGCATGAAGCGCGTTCTAGTACGGCGACAGGAAGATCGGCGGGGTACGCTTTGCCGACTAGACTCTCGACTAGGGCGGAGAGACGGTGGAGAGACATGAGGAGGACGAGGGTGCGGGAGGCTACGAATTCGGGTGGGTCGAGGGGCGCGCCTTTGCGGCCGGTGCCGGTGCAGATGAGGACTTGGTCGGCGATGCCGCGGTGTGTGGCAGGTATGGCGGCGAACAGGGGGGCGCTTAGAGCGCTGGTGATGCCGGGTAGCACGCTGGGTATGAAGCCGTGCTCGCGGAAGAAATCATATTCTTCGCCGCCACGGCCGTAGATGTATGGGTCGCCTTGCTTTATCCGCACGACTACTTTGCCGGCTTTCAGGCCTTCCAGACCTAGCTCTAGGAGCTCTTCTTGCGCTTTGTCGGCATTTCCGGGGAACTTTCGTGCGATGTGGACGGTTGCGCGGCGGGGTACGAGGTCGAGGATGGGTGCGGGGACGAGCTTGTCGGCGAGGATGAGGTCGGCGGAGAGAATGGCTTTGTGCGCTGCGCGAGTAAGGAGGTCGGGGTTGCCAGGGCCGGAGCCTGCCAGTATGATACGACCTGGTCGTCGTGCCGCTGTGGTGGCGGTGGGTCCGACCTTGGAGGGGCTGCTGCTGGCGAACTCGCGGAACAGCATGTCGACATCAGCGTCTGTGATGCCAGCGAGACGGCGTAGAGGCCAGTACTCGCATATCTGTGAGAGCCAGCGCATGCGACGTCCCCGTGCAGCTTCCTTGCTCTCCTCCATGATCAACTTGTTGAAAGTTGCTGGCTGCCCGCTGTCTTCTTCTTCAGCCTCTAGATCTTGCGATAACTCTGCCGCATGATCTTCTTCCCATATGCGTCGCCGCAGTGTGCCTAACCTCTCCACTGCATCACCCAGTCGCGGTGGAAGTGACGCCGCAATCTCCCTCTTTATTCTTGCAGAGAGCTTGCATCCTTTTCCAGATGTTGTGATACCGATCTGCAGAGGGCCGTCGGAGTGTGTGGAGAGGAGGGTGAATGAGCAGAGGTTTGGCGCATCGGCGACGTTGACTGGTATGCGTAGTCTCCGGCAAAGACTCGAGATGTGGGTTGCTGTGGCGAATTAGAGTGAATTCGAGACATACTCTCATGTCACGTACCTGATGTATGTTTTCCGCCCGCAGTAACAAATACAGCGTCTACTACGCTGCCCACCTCCTCTCGTCCCAGCGTAGTCAAGTCGTCGTCTTTGAAACTCCGCTTTAGCCACTTTACTTCGCCCGCCTCAATTCGCTTGACAAGACCATAGTGAAGTGTGGAGTCCTCGGGCGCGAGCAGTATCGGTTTCGCGCCAACCTCTATTGATCGTGCGCATCGTGCGCCTGCTAGTGGGTTGGACCCGACTATAAGGTGGATGTGGGATGTGGCGTCTACCGCGGTAAGAAGTGCTGGCGCCATGATGAAGTCTGGAGAGGATAAATTTGAACAGCTTCGAATCCCACGAAGGAGGGGCAGTAATATGAGTAGAGGCAATCGTCGATGCGGTTACTCCTCGGCGGTGTTGATAATGCGCGTGGCACATTATTTGTTCCGATAGCGACGAGCCGATATGGCGCGATCGCACTAGGGCATTCCCGCGGAAAAAGGCGAAATATGAGTGGTTGTTCCGCCCAATGGTCGATGGTGCAATTGACTGCTGTCAGACTTGCGCGGAGTTAGTCCATCTGCTCGTCTCGACCCATGACTATGTTGAGCGCTTTTCGGCTCAACATCACGCTGTGTCCCAGAGCGTTGAGCTTTGCCGACGCGGATATCAAAGCGGGGTCTTGGCTCTCCACTCGAATTTTCTCTTTCACGCGGACGTCGTGGTCCTTGTACTTGAATGTGCGGTCGGCCTCATCGTGCGCAGGTGCTCGTGCCCCGCCAAGTGCTGATGCAAAGGTGTTGCGGATGCTGAAGCCGGTGAGCGATGAGCTGTCACCGGCGTTGTGTGGCTCGAGAGTGCGGATTTCGAGAACGAGGGCAGCATCGAAGACGAACAGGTGGAAGGACACATTCGCTGGCAGTGGAGGGTCGAATGTCTGTGATTGTCAGCAGTGGCCATGTTGGATGCTCAGGTGCAGCCTACCTTGTCGTCGACGGGGTTCTCCCACCACGACGGCTGGACATCCGAGTAGCCCTTCAGTGCAGCTTGCGCTTCCAGTATGTGATCGTGCAGCAGCTGCAGTTGCCCGGATACGAAGTTGGCGTTGGTGGCATCGCCGCCCCAGGTAGCCACGTCGATGACGTCGAGGCAGCTGTTGATGGAGGTCCGAATCGAGGTGAGCTGGGGCACGACGAGCGTCGGCGCATGCGGTGCAGAGGAAATGGCGAGGTCGTACGTCAGCGAGCCTTTGGGCGGTGGGAGGCTTGCGAGGCGGAGCTTGACGTTCTGCACGGTGTGAGCTGCTGCATGGGGACGGAGAGTGGAGGACGTACGCCTTTGGTGATGCGCGTGCCCACGCGAGTAATGAGGCCCTTGAGACTCTCGGAGCGCACCGAAGTCAGCACAAGTGTCGAGCCATTCTCCGACGGCGCAAGCAGGGCAGCGCACTCCTCCAGGCCAGCCTTGAGCGACTGCAGCGTCTCGCGGAGTTGCACCAGCAGCCACTCGAGCTCGCGCGCTTGTGACTCTGCCTGCTCGTGGGAGAGGCGGGCGTCATCGATGGGCGGCCACACAGCAGTCGACATGGCGGTGATGGCTTCCAAGTTCCAAGGCACGATGCGGCAGATTGTTGGTGTCGGGCTGCCCGAGCTCCTCGATGGCCAGGATCCACCACGTACGCAGCGGATCTCGCTACTATCCGAGGAAGGAAGCCATCCCTGCATCTCTCCGCCCATCTCTTCACGTGCCGAACACATCACGCACTTGCACACACATTAAAGCCCTCCGTCACGATCCGTCGCATCCGCCAGCGTGTTTGCAGACAAGCCGCGGACCCTCTGGTTGCTTGGGCGTGTCGAGCAGCCTCGGGATGATGCAAAGCGCGCGCGATAGTGCCGTAACCCTGTGCGATGAGGGAGCTAGTCGACGACGCCAACAAAGAGCCGATTCACAGGTGCACTACGTCACCCGCTTGGCCGCACCTCATAAACAAGCTTGCCAGGCCTCTTTTCGTCGCGCGTTTGAGACGCAGCTAGCCACGTCGAACCATCCTCTGTAATCGCACCATTACCGTGCATCCTAATCTTAATAACCTACACCCTTGCGACGACGACTCTTTTGGGTACCACACACCATGGCTGTAGCTAGTACGTTGCCCGTCGCTTCCTAATTCGGTTGCGCATCTGCTAAACACACTCTCAGGACCTCTTCTCGCGTTCGGCTCGCTGATCCTGGTCGCTGGAGGCCTACTCTTCCAATTCCTGACCATCCTCACTGGCGGCGTCAACAAGGCTCCTCTCACCAAGTTCTACTTCCTCGAAGCCACCACCGGCGGCATCCCCAACGCACGAAACCCATCGCGATGGACCTTTTTCGCCATCTGCGGCGCTGACCCCGACTCCGGCAACAATGCCAACTGCGGCTCACCTGTCCCAGCGCTGCCATTCGACCCTCCTAGGAACTTTGGCACCCAGGAGAACATCCCAGAGCAGTTCATCGGTACCCACATGTACTACTACCTGTCTCGCTTCATGTTTGCTTTCTATCTGATTGCTCTCTTCTTCGCTGCCATCGCACTCATCTCTGGTCTTCTTGCGCTCTGCAGCCGTCTTGGAGGATACCTCTCTTCCCTGATGACCTTTGTCGCTCTCTTCTTTCAGACACTTGCCGCAGCACTCATGACGTAAGTCTATGCCAATGTCCAACTTCCAGTACGTCGACTAACATTCATCAGCGCATGGGTAGTCAAGGGCCGCGATGCCTTCCGCTCCGCCGGCTTCGAAGCGAGCATCGGCAAATACCTCATGGGTTTCACCTGGGCCGCCGTCGCCTGCTACTTCCTCGCTACCGTCATGTTCTGTCTCGGAGGCCGTCTCGGCGGCGACCGCTCTTCCAGCATGCGCCGAAGCCGCTCTACCAAGTCGAACCGCAGTCGGGGTAGCTTCTTGGACACCGAGTCCCAGCGCAAGCCCAGGGACTACTCCCCATAAACCGATACTGAACGAGGATGAAGTGGTCCAAGTGGATGAGGTCCAACACGGACCACATGGAGGAAAACTGATCTTTTACGCGACGATATCCACGATTTGATTTTGTAATGAACGAACATAATACCTTGCTATAGCGCGCGAGTTAATGCTAGTATTGTACATATGCACATATAGCAAATATACTTCAAACGAAACTATATTCCAAATGACCATCCTATGGAGTTGATCGATATAAACACAAGTATCCAGACAATACGCTTACGAAACACGTACCAAACCAGTCTCATTCCCCCTCCCACCAAGTCTCGAACATGCCTCCAGTGCCTCCCAAATCCAACACCTCGCCACGTCCCCCTCCTCCAATACCCTTCTCAACCACAGTCCACAAATCAAACGGCACCAACTCATCCTCACTATCCACCATATCCTCATCCTCCTCATCTTCATCCCCGCCACTAACACCCACATACGCCGTAACCCCCCTACAACTAGCCACACACTCATCCATCAAATTCCAATCTCCATCCGGAACCGCGAGTTCCAACTGCGGGTCGCCGAGCCCCTCGTAGCGCATAATCGGCGGCGCGCCGTTGGATAACGTGTATGTTGTCTCCCGACCTGTGAAGCGTGAAGTGTATGTGTGGGGTTGACCGCGCTTGGAAGGCAGGACGACGGTGTGTGCTTCGTAGTCTGCGAGGGCGGCGTTGTATTGAGGGGGTGTGAGCTTTTGTTTTGCGTAGAAGGAATTGGCGAGGAGGCGGGAGCGCGCGGTGTGGCCTTCTATTAGAGCGATGGCGGGGTGGGGGATGTAGCGTGTTGTTGTCTTCTCTTGTTCCCCATTCCTACTTCCATCTCCATCTCCATCTCCGTTTGTGTTGTCTTGTGAAGTTGACGTTGAAGCAGCAGTAGACCACGGCGCTGCCACACCCATTCCTCCCTCCCCCAGGAATTGGTTCCAGGGCTTCACACCACTAGCCCAGGGACCTGTGTCGTACTCTCCCACAGGACACATAGCCTCACCTCTTGGATCATAGATAACCTGATCCCACGAATCGGCTTCTGTTCTCCGGCCCCAAATCGTCACTTCAAACAACGTAATGGTGTCGCGGACTGCTTTCTCAAAGTCTCTGGCGCGCGCCACGCCGATGAGTGCGGCGCTGTGTTCGATGGTCTCATCAAGGACGGTTTCGTAGGGCAGGATGTGCGCGGTCTCTTGCCAGATGTCCAGCAGGTAGAACCATATTGATTGCATGAGGGGCGTATCGATGGGGTGGAAGTCCGCGAAGTAGTCAAGGAGTGTGGCGGCGCATGTCCAGTATTTTGCGGTGAAGGCGGACTCGCAGGGATCGCAGGGCCAAAGATATTGGGGGCGGTGCGGGCATGGTGGGTGGGTCAGAAGAGATTTGATGCGCCTGTAGGCGATGGGGAAGTCGATGTCGTTGCGGCCGAATGTGTAGCGTGTGGCCGTTGGGGGTGTTGTAGAGTGGTCTGTTACTAGGATGATGGGCGGTGGCGGCATTGCGATGGGCTTTAAAGGGCGAGAAGCCATCGCGTCGGCGACTAGACCTATGTGAGCTGACTTAAGTTAGTAGTAAGTGTGTTGTTTGTGGAGGGCGAGTAGCAATCGAGGTCGATAGAGTAGTGCCAAGACTGCCGCCTTGCATAATATTATTGTTGGGAGGCTCACGATGAGAGTCGAAATAGAAGTGAAAGAGATCCATCGCGTCCAAAGAACTATACCCAGTCGCTCCCGTCACACCTACCACTTCGACATACGGCTAAGTGTACTCATCCTACCATGCTGCATGTTGCTCAACAGCGCTTCCTCCAGGGCTGATTGACTGATACCTGCATCTGTCCGATGTGAGTATATCAATCTAAAGGTGGATAATCCCAGGACTCACCATCAATGTCGCTGAAGCTGCTGCCCATACTCGGCGTGCCTTCACTACCTTCCTTTCTGGATCGTAGTCCTCCGCGTCTTGGACTACCGAGTCGGCCTAGCGCAGCGCGATGGTCTGAGGCCGGGCTCATGGGGCTCTTTGCGGCTGAAGGAGGTCCGCCGGAGCTGGTCATTGACGACGCGGTCTCAGTGGTCGCGATGGACTGTACGTCCATAGACGTTTGTCTAACAGGCGGAGCATTCCTTGCGCGGGCAGGTTGCAGAACCTTTTGCTCCTTGCTGCTACTAGCTCGGAAGCGTGAGTCTTGCGCGTACTTGCTAACGCTTGGTTTAGTCCTGACTGAAGTTGCAAAAGGTAGACTTGTCTCGTGTGAGCCTGAATCGTCAATCTCTTGCGTTCCGTCTCCTTCCTCAAACGTCGAAAGCTCTCGCGGTTTCTTCTGCTGGAAACGCGGCGGGCGCTTGAAGAGTTGGCTTCGATGAGCTGGATGGTCAGTATCTGATAGCGATGACGAGCTCGAGGACGACGAATCAGGAATGTCTGGAGAAGCTGCTTCGTGATTTCGATAGCTTGGTGGTGAGATTGGCGCATTCGCCCGGTCATCGGACCTTCTACTTGTCAAGTTAGGTCGCTGAGTGGAGCGTGTAGACAAAGTTCGAGCTGGTGCCTGAGTAAGTGCCCGGGATTGAGTAATCGTGGTGGTAGATGGTGTCCTCGAGAGCGAAGGTGCTAAGATATGTAAGAAAACATGTCTACTGCGGCATCTGAAATGCTTGTCGAGAGACTTACCGGGTATCACTACCTCTGCGCCACGCAGACTCGGACTGTCCTTCGAGCGTCCTGCTAACGCGGATGTAGTCCTCCCAGCTACGTTTTGTCAGCAAGATCAAACAATGCTGATGTTTTACATACCCCCAGATCCGGCACTGCCACCCCTTCGCATCGCAACGCCACCCACAGCAGTAAGCGTGCTACCACCAGTCGGCGAAGATGACGGAGCAGCATTCGAGATGCTGACTTTCTTCATTTGGTTACGAACATGATCTAGATGTCGCTCATATAGCCATGCGGCCTGCTGAAGAAGAAAGGTTGGTGGGACTTGGAACTTGTCCGCTCTGTCACATGGTCAGTAAGTCTGACGCGTTGCGTAGCATGGATGTACATACAACTCGACCCCTACAATACATTAGCATTTCTTTGAGATAATTTTCGAATTGAGTCCTGGATACTTACAGTTCAAGTCGCTAGTCTTGGAAGACTTGGAAATAACCTTCCATAGTTGGCGGTCTCTCTCAGCATCCCATTGCGCCTATGTCGCGGTCAGATGAGCACCGAAGACGCGGACAGATGCCACTTTACCTGCGGAGGATCTTCAAAGTCACCCCGGATGAACGGGAGACGTATCAGAGCTGTGAACTGAACTGACGACATCAGAGATGATCTGGTTTAGCTGCAAGGACGTAGAGTGATGAAGGGGTGGTTGGGTGAGGTGTAGTGATGCGGCTAGGCGATCGAATGAAGTAAGGCGTGAATCGATCTACGCCCGGGCTTGTGACCAATTAGGCCGGAGCAGTCGCGTAACACTGGAAGTAGACGACCACTCCAAACGAACTTGAATTCGTTTACATGCGTTTCCGATGATCATAACTCAGTCTTACAATACTAGTCGTGAGTGATTGAGTCTCGTGTATCAAGGCAACCATCGCAGCCTGGATCAAGCACCGCCACACCTTCCTCGAGAAAGCCACAGCGGCCCCGCTGAAGCATAAAATACTCGACGCGGGATCGTGCATAAATCCCCACCAAACACAGTCACTCCCCGAACTCAACACCAAGAAATCAACTCAAGGGAAAAAAATGTCGGCTCAAGCGGTCACCTCTATCGACATCCAGGGCAAATTGCCTAAGATTGCCTCTGGAAAAGTGCGCGATCTATACGCGATTGACGATGACACACTATTATTCGTTGCGAGCGACCGTATCTCAGCGTATGACGTGATTATGGAGAATGTAAGTTCAACTTCACCAAACTTCAATGACACTTGAAATGGAACCAAGAGCCTCAGACTAACAACCCCCAGGGCATCCCCGGAAAAGGCGCCCTCCTAACCGCCATGTCAATATACTGGTTCAACTACCTACCCACCAAAGTCCCCGGTCTAAAAACCCATTTCCTCTCCTCAGACCTCCCTTCCGCAATCCAGGACCAAACCTCGCTCAAGGACCGCAGCATGCAAGTCCGACGTCTGCGCATCCTCCCCATCGAGTCCATAGTACGTGGTTACATCACCGGATCAGGCTGGTCCGAATACACCAAATCGGGCACCGTCAACGGCATCAAACTCCCCACCGGACTCGTCGAAGGCCAGAAGCTACCGGAACCACTCTGGACACCGAGCACCAAGGCGGAAGTAGGCGGCAAAGACGAGAACATTAGCCCCGAGAAAGCGCGAGACATGATTGGTGATGCGAAGATTGCGCAGCGTGTTGAGGAACTGTCACTTGCTATATACAGCGCTGCTGCAGACCGCGCAGAGGAAGTTGGTATCATCCTCGCGGACACGAAGTTTGAGTTTGGCGTTGATGAGATGGGTGAGGTGGTGCTTGTTGATGAGGTGTTGACGCCGGATAGCTCGCGCTTCTGGCCCAAAGAGTCGTGGGAGAAGAATCTGGGGAAGGCGCAGCCGAGTTATGACAAGCAGTTCTTGAGGGACTGGCTGACGGGTGAGGGGTTGAAGGGCAAGGAGGGTGTTGAGGTGCCGCAGGATATTGTGGAGAAAACGGCGGCGAAGTACAAGGAGGCTTGTGAGAAGCTTACGGGGAAGAGTGCTTAAGAGGTGGTTGTGGTTGCAGTCAAAGTCGCATTGAGGCGGTCGAGATGTGAAAAATTGGCGCGTTGATGCTACTTCTGACACTCATGCGTATATAATAGCAGCAATGGAAAGCACTTGAGGGCAGAACACTTGACATGTAGTGATATGTATATCGAAAAAAAAGCCCTATATATACATCTACTAGTCTCTCCGACCCTGTACAAGCCCTTCCCGCTCTTCTTCATCCTCATCGTCGATATGCTTCCCTGGATGCCGATACAGCACATAATGCTGCAGCATGAAGATGATGTCAAACACAATAGTGATGTTTCCCAATCCAAACTTGACTGGATTACCAGTAACACCACTCCAATCATTCTCCAGCGCAGAATCAATGCACAACTGTGCGAGCGAAAGCCAGCCACCCGCGAAGTCCAAGAGCATGGGGTATATACTCCACCCTAACGTCGACTTGCGCTTGTAATTGACCCAGGCCTGGGGTATATACTTGAGGAAGACGGTGAGGAGTTTGACGTAGCCGAGCGTGTAGATCTACTTCGCATTAGTACAACCGCGTGAGATGTAGACCCATGATAACTCACAACATCGATCCACGCCCACCCTTCAGCATCGTATCCCCGCCCAGCCCCGTTCATCTTGACCAACACCACCACAACCCCAATAGCAAGCACACACCCCCACCAAACCCCCAGTATAATCCGGCTAACCTTTTGCCTCTTGCCAATCTCAAAGCCCCAAATCTTCTCAAAGAACTGACTGTATATAATCACGCACATGACCGCGCCATGTGCCGCGAACAAGAAATCGTTGAACCGCACCGTCGTCTCGGGCGCGTCAGGATGACGTGCCGCATATTGCGCTTTTATCGTCGGCGAGTAGAGGAAGCAGGCCGTGGAGATGGTGTAGCAGGTGAAGCCTAGGACGTTGAGGGTGGGGAAGTCGATGGCGAGGCCGAGCGTGGATTTGCGCAGGTAGTTCGATATGGGTTGGGGGTAGAAGGATAGGGACCTGTTGTGGGGTTGGTTAGCTGGGGCTGACAGGAGGAGGGATGGTAGGTGGGTGGATGGTAGGTGGGTGGTACTGACCACGACAGGAAGTAGGCCCAGCCCAGAACGCGCGATATGGCTCGCGCAAAGGCTTCGAGCTCGGGGGTCATCGTCATGGTGCTGGAAGGCGAGGGCTGCACATGTGCGAGAAGTATTGTCTGACGTGCGCGTTCGCAGTAGACGAAGCGAAGTTGGAGCAAGTGGAAGACCAAGGAACGTGTGCTATCATAGACAGCCAGAAAACAGAGACATGTTGCTGAGACAAGTACTCATGGTGAGCGCCTGATGCTGCAGCGTGGATTGTACATGTGCGATTACGACAGAGGAGATGCGCGCCTGCCCGCGGAACGGATGACAGGGGTCGGAATGGCTGCTTGCAACGCCGAAGTGCTCATTCGCCGTCGGGTTCATCGCAACCATGCCGACTGTGCATCGTGCCGGCTCTCAATTCAGCCGTATCATCGGAATTGCATACATGCTGTATCACAAAGAGTTCGGCATTGTTAGAGAGGAGGTGGTGTACTTTCCTACTTTACAGCCTTATTAACACTCAAGGTATAACTTTAGTCCCTCTGCCTGTGCCTCGAAAGACTGCTGCAGACTCTCTCCAAGCGTATCCTTCAAGACTTCAGCAAACAACCCGTGAAACACTTCTATCGACTCATACAACACCGTGCCATTGCCTATGTCGCTGAGCGCCTGCCACCGCGTCGACGCAATAGCGAGTTCCCCCAAGTAATCCCATGCCAATCTTCCCAACTCGGGCTGCACATGAGTTATGCGCTCAGCGGACAACTGCGTGTTCAGGAGATTGTCGGGCGTGTCCTTGTTCACCGGCAGCGGAAGCGGAGGAATCTGCACTCGGAAGAAGAGGAAGTTGCCCTCGACCGGTCGCTGATCAGGCAGGGTGATGTTGCCCTTGGCTGAAGTAGTGAGGGCATAACGCACAAACGGGTTCCAGGCTGCGTAGTTGGCGAAGTCGGTGAGTACGTCCCAGGCGGCGGGGACGGTGCTCTTGATTTCTATGCGTGCGGTTGCATTGAAGACGCCGGGTGCGACGGCTGGGAGGTTTGTGTATTCGGACTGGGCAAGAGCCGCAGGGAGGAGCGTCAAGGAGACGAGATTGAGGAACTTGGACGCGAACATATTGGATGGATGGGTTTAGGGTTTTCAGCCTGGGAGTTGCATACTTTTGTACCGGAGGCTACCCGAGGTTTATTGCTACATTAGCCACATCGCTTAGGAGACGATGCGAGTGTCTCCTAGGATAAATGTCGCCGGCTCCAAAAATGGTAATCTTCATAAGCTTCGGGACAAATCTCCCCTGGGCGGATTACTGGGCATGTAAACCAATAAGTTTAATGCCTGTGATTGTGGATGGGACGGGATCCGACGGAGTCGAACGGACGCTGCCTATGTACTGGAGGCCCGGGCCTTGTACATCGCTGAGACTAAGCTCACCGCTGAATACTGGCTATCATTACAGTGAGGTTGGAGATGTAACCTTCGAAGCACGTGCAAGGCGCGGGACGTGTCGCGGCATGTGGGCCATGATATGCATGCGGAGGACGTCACTCCAGTCTCTCGGAATGCATCGCGGAACGCCGCATGTGGCTGCCCAACAACCTGCTCAGGCATCTACCGTGCTCGCTGCAGTCACTTGACATCACTAGCAGCGTGCAATCTGCGAATGACTAGAGTCGGCCAAAGAGGGGCTAGATAGCAGCGCAAAGGGCGGTGCCGGCGGCCGTGATGTGGTGGGCGAATGGAAGGCTGAGGGCGCGACATGCACCTGCATAAGCTATGAGCTGCCCCTCAGCACCGCGACCTGGCCAGCGACACAACTAACTGCACTTACGACGCCCTGCATACATATCTCAACACTTGGGAGCTTAGATAGAGCTCCAACTTGACTCACCTCTGCGCGCCCATCCAGACTTCTCTGCATAACGCGCTGAGGGGCCCCATATCTAGCGTGCCGCGTGAAGCTCCAGCCCCGCGGCTCAAACAACAGCCACAACGACCCTCCCGACGATACCGAGTGACTACCAGAGATAGGCCCCGATAACGCGCCGAGTCAGGAACAAGGCACCAGTGTTGTTGTGTATAAGTGTCTTGCTGTGCAAGCACGCGCCCGCCACCTCCACGAGTCCTGGTCACGGAGGCGCATGACGCAACGCCCGTTTAGCATTCATCCCAAGTCACCCGCCGCCGTCCTCATCCGTCGCTACCCCCACAACCTCTCTCGCGCCCACGACACCTACCACTTCCTCACGACTGAGCTAGCGCTCCAACAGACCCTTCCACACGCTCCTCCGCAGGTTATATGAGCTCATCGCCCGACAACGCCGCCGAGCATACGACGCCCGTCTCCAACCTCACCTACTTGCACAAGCAGCAGCGCAAGGGCACCAAGGTACAGGACACACCACAAGCACGCGGCCGCAACACGTCGAGAAATGAGTTGGGAAGAAGAAATAAAGCGGCCGGCAAGGTTACGCGCATATACCCGAGAGAGATGTACGTGAAGCAGCACCACCCTTCCCTACGTGGAAGGGGCGATGGTGACTCTTGTTCGTATTCAAACGCGACTGACTGTCACAGAACCAAGTCACCTTCGTCAGCCAAACGTCTGTCATCCACGTCTCCACCCACAAACTACCATGCCACTACGTCTCCATTACTATCGGCGATCGGTGCCACTCGAAACACGGCCGCACAATACACCAACGAGTGGGCCAAGTCAGTTCCCTTCTTTCCAAACTCCGGCTCCCCGGGTAATGGGGGCATCGCTATAGCCAGCTCTCCGCCTACCTTTCATAACTCGCCTGGTGCACGAGACGGGCTGTACGCACCACAGGCCATGTCAAACTCACCTCCAGGTGCACGACCCCTGAGCCACCCCAACCAATACACGAACTTTGGTGGACGCGTACAGAACTCGCCTGGAAGAGACCGTAGAGCATCTGTGTACTCTCAACAAGGCGTTCGCCCGCCCTCACAGCAGTTCATGCCGAACCCGCCTCTGCCCCATCAACCTCAAGCACACTACTATGGCTTGCCAAACATCGACTTCGGCCTCAACAACGGCCAGTCCGATGGCATCCAGCCAGGGGAAGGAGGCTACTTCTGTGGTTTCGACACTCTATCCATGGCAGGAGACGAGGCATCTCGAACTACAGAGAACGTGCTGCTTGTTGGGTCGCAAGGTGGGCTCGATGTCTTCCGGGTTGAAAAGAGCAAGATGGACATTGTAGGTCGACTAGAAGGACTTCGGGGCGCTGTAATAGGCGCCAAGATCTTGCCTTGGATCTCGCGGCACGATCCCTTAGCTGCTTCCCGTCCACTGATCGCGCTTATCCTCCACGGTCCGGTCGTGAAAGACAGCAGAAGCTCTAGTGGAAGCGGTGCATCCTCTGTGGCTGACGATTCGGCGTCTGAGTCACCTAGTAGGCCGTCCTCACGACATGGAAATCAAGAGGGGCAAATCAGTGGTTACCAAACTACGGTCGAAGTTTACTCACTGAAGGAGAGGCGAAGAATGGCTGTCCTGTATCGCACTCCCCTGATACCTCTCACGAGCCCAATCGATAGCCCCATGTTTCAGCCTCCACCTCCAGTAGGCGACTTCGTCATTGATGCGAGGGGGAAGTTTGTTGTTGTGGCGTCTGGTGCAAGTGGAGAAGTCTTCGTATTCGCGCCTTACCACGAAGGTCACTCTGAGTATGCAGAGCGATTCCGCTGCATCGGTAAACTGTGGACATCCGTTCAAAATCGGGAACGGGCCATACATTCAGGCGGTTCCAGTGCCGTTGACGGCAGCCATGACGAGATTCCTCCTGAGAAGTATGGCTTGCCTGTGTTTTCGCTCTCCGATCGTTGGCTCGCCGTCACCCCACCAGCGTCAAGTGCGCTCTACCCTGTCAACGGTATAGCCCTGACTTCACCTTACTACGAGCGCGCTCCGGGCCTTGGGCACCACAGCGTACCGCCTCAGCCATCTCCCAACTGCGCTGTCGATGTGCCCAACGAAGCAGGCTTGATCGATAGACTTACCAGGGAGGGAACACAAGTTGCAATCAAGGGTGCACGTTGGGCCACTGAGAAGGGAATGCAGGCTTTCAAGAGCTACATGAACAAGGGCCAGCAAGGAGCTAACGTGCCATATGGTCAAGATCCCATGCAGCATTACTTTCCACCAACCCATGGCCACAACCAGACTCAGCCAAGACAAGAGGCATCTGTGATCTCCGTCTATGATCTGCAGAGACTGGCAGACGCAGAGGAAACGAGGAATAAGAACGCACTTCATCCGGTCGCCACTATACCCGCGGCTCTCGGTTGCAGCTTCATGTCATTCGCCCCCAGCGGTCTTATGCTCATGACTGTGAGCAAGAAGGGCGACTATCAAGATGTTTGGGACCTGAAGCGCATGAACTTCCGAAGAGCACGTAAGACGTTAAGGGAACAGCCAACAGGACCTTACGTACGACAAGTCGCTCGCTTCACCAGAATGACTGTTGCGAACGTCATCGATGTTGTTTGGTCTGCCCCTCGAGTCGACAAACTGGCTGTCATCACGGACAAGGGAACAGTGCACATGTTCCCGATGCCTGCGTCGGCCTTCCAATGGCCACCAGCTCGGCGCATTCGTCCAGCTGCACCAGCCCCACCAAAGGATGTCGCGTCCCCCACAGGTCCCGCTGGTGTGATGAACTCAGCAATGCAAGCTGTCAATAGCGCTAGGCCTTGGTTTGATGCTGTTCGCGCTAAGAACAGCGTCGGCGGAACTCGATTCAGTCTCAGTGGCTTGGGTGTAACCCCTGCCGCTGGCGCAAAATCTGGCAAAGCCGTCGCTGCCAATGTAGGCAAGTCAATCAACAACATCCGGCATGCCGGCGACAACAAAATGACACTTCCGTCATCGCCTAGCGGTATCAAGCCTTACAGCGTACGCTGGCTTTCTGGTAGAGGTCGTGGTTCGATCGCACTAGCGTCCGGTGGTGTACTTCAGATCTGGAGGGTGCAGATGAGAGCTGCGACAGGCAAGGGGAAATCATCGCATACTGCATCCATAACCAAGAAGAAGACAGTGGAGTTCGGACTTGCTCCCATCTCGGATACCGCACTACCACCCTCCGTTACGGAGCAACTGTTCCCGCAACCTGGTGATCCTGAGCCAACACTTGACTGCTACGGTGACTGGCTTCCTCGCGCTTTGCCTTCTCGCAAGCCTACCGTGCCATCTCTCGCACCACTCAGCTTCTCGGAGATTGAGACGAACCCTCCTTACCAGCCCTTCTACACCGACAAACGTGTCACGCGTTTTGTCTACTCTAGACAAGCTCCCGAGGTTCAAGAGAGTAGCAGCGAATACCAGCCCTCGTTACCGGCACTTATCTCCGATCTCCATCACGAAGATAGCTCGCCATGGCTCTTTGGTGAGACCGTAGAGGGAACACGTATCTCCACGCCAATCACTCAGGCGTATGACTCTGGAGAGGATGACATCACGGGCGTTGCCGCCAGGATCGAGAACAAGCTTGTTCTTCGAGACGGCGAAGAGGAGGTAGAGCAGGTTGTCGTCACCACACGACGTCGGCGCGTGAAGAAGGAGGGTATCGACGGCGACGAGGAGGGTTTCTTCGAGGACGATTGCGAGGTGTTGGATTTCGCAGAGGATAGGGTATGAGCGTGTACAGAGAGTCGCTTTGCTTGTCTGTCATTCAACATGTCCTTCCACACATCACCCCTACGTTCGCTACCACATTTGCATCAGATCGGGCGTTGTCATCTTGGGTAAGGCGCAGCAATAGGCGCCGGCGTTTCTTCTTTTTGGGTCAGGAGGAATTCGCATCATTAGGATACCACGCAGCCGACAGCGGCCCTCGGCTTGCAACATCAATACACAACTTAGATAGCCAATAGATGGATTAGGAAGATCAACTACGCTTTATTTCGCACAACGGATGAGGTTAAATGATGTGCTCACAGCCTAACCTTGCTTCGTATATGGCCGTCTTTACTCCACGATCGTGTCTTTAACTCCGTTATCCCCGTTCGCCGACTAACTCCATCATGTAGGATGGTCGGCAGCGGATGGTCGGGGGAAATACTAGGTTTTCATCAGAGTATCGGAGGTGCTCATTGGATGCATGTGCGTTTGATTTGCGTGGCTTTTGCACTACGTAGACGTGTTGTTACTGTCCGGTCAAGGGGAATGCATGCCTATGGTAGTCCAGCCGCGTACTACAGCAGAATGTGCAAGTGATTTATTGCACTTTCGGTTACTTAGTTATAGGTAGCGTGTGGCGGTGGAGCTGGGCCATGAGCCCATGGAAGAAACTACTCGTAGTCGTAGAGTTTAGGGTTGGGTGTGGAGATAGACGGCGGAGCCAGAGGATGAGACATATAAAGAGAAGACTACAGCCGCCGACAAGAACACATTCAGCTCACATCAGCAAGAAGAAAATCATCAGCTCTACATCAAATAGTCCGTCACCGAACGAAGAAACATTAACATGTCTTCCACCGACCAGACAATCGTTCTCATCACCGGCGGTACGCAGCATTTCCCTACTCCCTACTCCCTACTCCCTACTCCCTACTACCTACTACCTACTACCTACTACCTACTACCTACTACCTACTACCTACTACCTACTACCTACTACCTACTCCATACCTTCTTCCCACCTCTCCCCTCTTTTTGTCACTTTTCAGATCCCCTTCCAACCCCCGACTAACAAGTCATCCCAGCTAATGGCGGCATCGGTTTCTCACTCGCCACCCAACTCCTCGAAAACGCTAAATACCTCGTCCTCCTCGGCAGCCGCTCTGCCAAGAAGGGTGATGCTGCTGTGAAAGAGCTCCAGGGAAAAGGCTTGCCTGGGAAAGTGGAGTTGCTGCAGATCGATGTCAGTGACGAGGCGAGTATCCTGAAAGCGAAGGATGTGGTCGAGGGGAAGTATGGCCGGTACGTCTACCCCCTTCCCTTCTCCTTGTCTATCTCCATCTCAACCCCAGCCCTTCCACCTCAAGCATACATCCACTCACACATTTCCCACCAGCATCGACGCCCTCGTGAACAACGCCGCCATAACCGGCGAAGCACCCGCCTCCTCCTCGCTCTTCACCCGCATGACATCCGCCTTCCTGACCAACGCCACCGGTCCAGCTGTCATCGTAGAAACGTTCGCCCCTCTCCTCGCGAAAAGCGCGGAGATGGGCAAGACGCCGCGAATCCTCAATGTGTCGAGTGGAGCCGGGAGTATTGGGCTCAGGAGCGATAGGACGAATCCGCATCAGGCTATGAAAAACGTATGGCCCCCGCTCTTTCAATCGGCTGTTTTGGTAAGATTGGTGGGGATGGGGGTGGTTTGGTGTACGAGTGAGATGTTTGCTGATATGAGAGACAGTTGCCATACCGCAGTTCCAAGGCGGCGCTGAACATGCTTACTGCGTGTCAGGACTATGAGTATGGGCCCAAGGGGTGGAAGGTATTTTGCTTCTGTCCGGGGTTTACGGAGAGTAATTTGGGACCTAGAGTACGTTTTCTTACTCCCACTTCCACTTGTTGTTGCGCGTGGGGCTAAACGACGTTTGCTGACATGTGAGATAGAACAAACCGGAGCATGGGGCTAAGCCTACCAGTGAGGGCGCGAAGCCCATGGTTGCTATCTTGGAAGGCGAGAGGGATGATGAGTGTGGGGGGTTCTTGAAGGCGGAGGGGGGTTGGCCTTGGTAGATTGGTGACTGTGGTGTCGGGATGGGCAATATGCACGTAGTTTGGGAAATAGTGAGTAGTGTGAGAAAGTGAAAGGGGTATCTGCATTTGTTCCTTCATATCTTCGTTCCATCACTTATCCTTACACACGTCGCCTTTTGCCTACATCAGCCCTGCCCGTCTCATTGCCTCAAGAACATCTTGTAGCTTGAGCTATCTGTGACCTCTTTGTACGGGTATCCGATATCCTTCAGGAAACTGACTAACTTGCTACTGTCCTCCTCTTTGCACTGTATGCCAGCCAAGATCTTCGCAACGTCGCCGCCATAGTTTCTGTAGTGGAAGAGACTGATGTTCATTCCCGGTTGCAATGTGTTCAGGAACTTGTACAGGGCGCCACCTCGCTCAGGGAATTCGAACATGTACATATGCTCATCAGCGGCGTTGCTGCGCCCTCCGACCAAGTAGCGGATATGTGACTTTACGAGCTCATCTTGTGAGAGGTCCTCGGCAGTCATGCCTTCAGCGGCGAGACGTTCGATAAGGTCGGGTAGATCGCGGGCCCTTGTCGCCGCCTTCAGTTCGACACCAACGAGGATCTGAGCCGACTCAGGGCCACAGTAGCGGTAGCTGAACTCTGTCACAGCCATGGGGTGGATGATGGAAACGAGCTTGGCAAATGAACCAGGTTGTTCGGGGATAGTGACGGAGAGGATGGCTTCTTTGTTTTCACCGATGGCGGCGCGCTCGGCGACGAAGCGCAGACGGTCAAAGTTCATGTTTGCGCCGCTGGCAATGGCGACCAGACCACGGTTGCGATCTGGTGACGGGTTGCGGCTCACCCACTTCTTCAGGCCTGCAAGGGCGAGCGCGCCTGCGGGCTCTACAATGGAGCGTGTATCTTCGAACATGTCTTTGATGGCTGCACATGTCTCGTCTGTTGTGACCTGGACGACCTCATCGACGACCTCTTGACATATCCTGAATGTCTCCTCTCCCACTGTCTTGACCGCAGCTCCGTCAGCGAAGAGTCCGACGTCCTTCAGGAAAACGCGCTTTCCAGCTTTGAGCGATTCGACCATGGCGTTTGCGTCGTACTGCTCCACTCCTATGATCTTGACGTGTGGTGCTATCCGCTTGATGTATACGCCTGTGCCCGCGATGAGTCCACCACCACCCACGCAGCAGAAGACGGCCTTGAGATCTTGCAGGTTTGTCTGTCGCAGCAATTCCATACCAACCGTACCCTGACCTGCAATGACATACGGGTCGTCGAATGGCGGGATAGACACAAGCCCATGCAGCTTCTCCAATCGCGCAGCCTCGGCCTTTGCAGCGTCGAAGTCAGCTCCATGCAAGATGACTGAGCCGCCTAGCCGTGAGACGTTCTTGTGCTTGATGTCGGGCGTTCCTGACGGCATAACGATAGTCGCGGGAATCTTCAGCTTGCGCGCGGAGTACGCCACACCTTGGGCATGGTTCCCGGCGCTGCACGCGACAACACCACGCCACCTGTCCTTGGGGTCCAAATGTGCCATCTTGTTGTATGCGCCGCGCAGCTTGAAGCTGAAAACGGGCTGGAGATCCTCGCGCTTGAGCAGAACATTGCATTCTAGCCTGTTGCTGAGATTGGTGGCGTGGGTGAGGGGCGTTTCCTGCACGACTTCGTAGACGCGCGAGGTGAGGATCAGGCGGAGGTAGTCGGGGTAGCCGTTGGGCAGGAGGAAGGCGTCGGGAATGACATCGTTGGTTCGCGAAGACGTCGATTCCGAGGGCGGGCTCGGGTTCGCGCTGTACTCGGTCAGGGCGAGGCCGTTCTTGGGTGTGCGGGGCGAGACAAGGCCATTGGGGCCGTTGTCGGGCGTCGTCGGCCGTGAGTAGTCGGGGACCGTCGTCATGGTGGTGTTGTGCCAGAAGTGCAGCTTGTTGAGCGTGTCTTTGTATTTTTTGGGCGAGTCATCGGAGGCCCAGTCGGCCTGCATCGGAGGCAGGGGTGCGTCTAGCGTCATGGGGAGCTATGGTGGGGTAGATAGCCTCCAACCTCCCAACTTCATCTCATCTCGCGTCGGATGGCGAACCCTCCGACATGTCGCGCCCAACATCCCCTTTTGAACTTTCTCCTGTGCTTCCTACGCGTTTTTCTCGTGTCGTATGCATCCGCCGTCGTCTGCATCTACTAGTTTTGTTTGTCGCCATGTTTGCTCTCGATGCCTCCTGATGGTCTCCGCGTCATCCTCTTCTAGTATCTGGCGTCGAAAAGACACGCCACGGACTCCAGGCTCCACTGGCGCACACAATGGCTAGCATCTATACGCCCCCCGTATGCTTCACAGCCTCGCGGTGATGCTCAGACGTGCGCGCGGGGTGACGACGTAGTCCCCGGGGGAGGCTGCAGTAGTCGGCTTGTTGGTGTGGTCCTGAACGACTAGGCTGTCCTCTTCCAGCTCCGTTCTGCATACACGGGTGCGTTGGCAACCTGTACGATGACTTGCAGGAGAAGAAACGGAGAACGTGGCGGACGAACCCACGCGAGCGGCTGGGAATCACCTCATTTCCGTCGTTCGAGCTTGCTGTCGATGCCATTGGAATGTGGGGCGAGGTGGTTTGCCTGTGGTGGTTGAATTGTAATCGGTGGTCACGGTGGCGGTCGATCGTTAGTGCGGAAAGGGCTGAAGCTTTGCCCGTGGCTCGATCTGAAGTTCACAGTGCCACGACCCACAGCAACACAGTCCTTGTTCAACTCAACTCAACCTTCCGGATCCTTCTATACTGACCAAGCAGACTTAGCCAGGCCATCTAGAGCTGGAGGACCGCATCTATGTCCGCTCTGTCTGCATACCTCGAGTGGCAGGATAGGCTGGCCGCCTTCTGTACGCTCGAGCGGAGAAGGCTTCACCAGCTACTAACGAGAACAGGATCTCGAGTACTCTTCTAGTGAGCTTGCTGTCGCGCCTCTTAATGCTCTCCAGGTACTCGAATCGTTGACGCGTTGTTCGCGGGCTTCACTTCGAAAATAAGGCGGACTTGACCTCATTGCCGACTATCCTCCGCTCGACCTCCTCCGCAATCTCAGCACACCACAGGGCCGCAGTCTCAGGAAGCTCTCCTTGAACTGCTTCTGTGGTCATACAGTACACGCTGCACTATAATGGGAGCCTGGGCGTTGCCGTGATGTCCCAGCGGAGCGATCCAGTTCTCCGATGCTCGGACCAAACACCCTGCTCTTGCAAATCGCCTCTCCATCTGCCTCTTCAACCACGCTCGAGGATGTTCTCTTCAATTGCTTCAGTACTATAGAGTTGGCCATGAAGCGGACGACTCTAGGTATGCGCTCCCACACCCTATGAAGGGGCGACCTTGCTGACCGAACACAATCTTCAGGCCGCATCGAAGGGTTCCTGTACGATACTACTTGCCTTTTCTTTACCAGGCATTGACATTCGACGCTCTTCAGAAGAACCATCGTGATTGACGTCGCGCTTTCTACCCCGACCGCCATTGCACCGCAACTGCCACCAACAATAGGCAGAGCATCGTCCGCCGTCTTACCCCCGCGGAGGAGGCAAGCGAAGAAGTAGCAGCTGGGTTCCAAGCACCGGCGGCTTCAGCGGTCATACTCGTCACCACGGGAAAACTCGAGCACTTGCGCCGCGTCTCCGGAACAAACAACATGTAATGTGGTCGCCCGGACGGACTGTTCACAGGTCGCGAGCGTTCCAGTCGAGCAGCAAGGTGTTGCTGCCAGCACTTTTACCTCCAATGCCCCTCCGGTGCAAGTGCTGGAAGATGTCCGAGAGCCATTGCTTGGAAAGCTCCCTTGCATGGGTACCAGGATCGAACTTCAGACGGAAGGCTCGCACAGCCAGGTGGCCTCCGTCATCCAAGAACAGTTGGCTGTTGATCCATTTCTTAACGAAAGTCCGGTCGCAAGGAGCGTCGGTACCGAAGATCATCCTGCCTGTATTGCGGCTGGCTCCGAGGTGAACTACTTCTTCTTCGTAATCAAAGCCAACCTCATCCGAGCCTTCGAAAGGTTGTACCACCCCATCTGTCAAGATAGGATTGAAGCGGATCTTGAAGTCGGCCAGGTTGTATCGGTCCTCTCTCATCGATGTGGAAATGGCCCAAACATTCTGGGACATTGAACCATGTCCATGATCTTCGCAGCGAAAAACGAATGTGTTCTGAAAGAAGACGTCTCGGATCATGTCACCCCATTTACGGCAGACTCTACGGAGGTCGAGTATCTTGGGGATTTTCGTGCAGGGATGGAGTTGGGTGTCCCAGTCACTGACCATACATCTATCAATATTGATACGATGTGTTGGAAGCGCGAAAGTGGCGTGGAAACGACTGGGAGCATGCGCGGATTGTTGGTCCTTCAGTGCCATGATGATCGGGCCTCCGAACAAACCAACTCGCTTAAATATTTTGTCGAGCACTTCTGCCGGCAAATCGGTTATGCCCTTTGCAGTTGTTCCTGGGTATATGCGGCTGCTTGGGATGTATGGCGGTATATCCCAGTACAATGGCTTGTTGAGCAGGTAACGCTCCGTTGTGAGCAAACCCTCTTCACCGGGCGGAAGAGTGATTCCATATCCCATTGGAATCCCTCTGCCTTCTGGTTTGCATGGTTTGGGCCAGTCAAGAAGGTTACCCTCGAGATATCCGTAGTGGGGGAAGAGACGATCATACTCGTCAGATCGCTCACCAGCTTCAGGACCGAAGATGTTTCGCCACTCCATGAATCC